ATTACGGCAAGGCTGGGATGGTCAATTTGGTAAAGTAAATCCGTTGGGCATCTTTCTTTGCCTTTAGACAAAATTCTGATGGCAAAAGAGCCAAACGGGACAGGCAAAAAAAATAAAATAAATAACCATGAGGTCCTGGTGGGCACATGGCCACGCAGCCTGCTGTTTTCATATTTACCGGCCTGGGGTCTTGAACAGAATAGTGAACCCGTCTTTCAGGGGTACTGACCACAACCACTTTACCAAGTCCGTTATCAAGACTAGTTTGTCACATCTTCACATCTCTGCTGGTGTCAACCATCTTTCGGCCAAGGATGGTGTTCAATCATTTCCTAAGAGGACAATCCTAAGCTCCTGACTGTTTGTTCTCTACCAGCACAGAGCACAACATGTCATTCATGTTAACACGCATTTTCATGTCGCTGCTGGTGTCAAACATTTTTTAATCAGATTTGTAAAATTGTAAAAACTATTTATTAGTCTTGCCTTCTCCAAGTTGTCTTTGAAATGTTTTAGGGGCTTTTGATAAAACAAGACAACTTTTAACAAAAGCAAAAATGACACTTTTTCAGCTTTGCTTCCTCAGAAACCCATTTTTATTCATTATTCCGATGCAGAGTTAATGCCACAGCTGCTGTATTGCCAGTCTGTAAGAGTCCCTGAGTCAGAATTAACTCGATTCAGTGACTGTGCAATATCGTACATCATGCAAAAAGTAACTGACTACAGTAAGAAACAATGATTAATTACAAATTGTGAAAAATGCTTTGTAAGCATCCACTGCGAGTACAGCGTTCCATCTGTGGTTTAATTAGAAGTGAGGCATCGCTGATGCTATTTACAGCTCCAGAGTGTTGAGTGTGACCTTTGCAGATAATTTTGTAAACTGCACCCAGGACAGCTGGGTTTAAATCTTCATCTGCTGTAGCATTTTCTTCACAGTTTAGTAAGATAAACTTGTGGTGCATCTATACCTTTTCTAAAGCTGAGCATCTCATAGTCATCATTTACATAATGTACATATTTATAGACTCGATATCCCGTCACACCTTGGACATCCGATTGTTAATGTGTCATTCAAAAGGTCTAAAGAGCAGCTAAATACATCTCTACAATATCTAAAGGTGAGCATGACATTCATCATTTGTGTTATATACATATGTTCAGTTTACACAGTCCTCACATTATGTCACACTTGTGACTTAATACTGCATGTCAAATGAAAATTGTGGATGTGTTATGATGAATTACGGTGGATGGATGCCTGTGTGAAAGTTCTTATGGAGAAGTGATGGAAGGTGGAAATGGTTAAATCAGATCCCTGTGTTGACTCTAGTGGGCCCCTCCCGTCGTCTATGGTGTCAAAACTGAGTTCCTTTCACCTGAAGTGCTGCATGCACAGAGAAACTCACACAAATCCAAATAAGTCAAAGGAGTAGGAGTTGCTTTGTGATCAAATTCTTTAATATTCTCAAGTGTTTAAAATTGAAGAAAACATAAAAACAGCTGTAGAAAACAAAACAAAAGCTGAGGCGAGAGGTTCCACTAACTGGATTATCTTTGAGATTTCAGAAAATCGTGCAGCTAATCTAGTGTTGTAAATTTTAACGTCACATTTGATCGCGTTTAGGAATTAAGAAAATGGGGAGGGAAAAAAAGACATTTGTAATATTTCTTTACTGAATAATAAAAAAAAAAGCATCCAGTGTTAAACGTTTTTGCAAATACTGGTTTGCACTTCTCAGCAGCGTCTTCTGCTTAAGAAACTGATTCATACTAAATAAGAGGATTTGATGGGCTGAATTTCTATGCGGTTGTTGGTTTTGATTTGATGGAATATAGAAGAGACAAGTGAGGATCCTAAAGCTTTTACAAATATTTAAAGTAATCTCAAAGTATCTCTGTGTACAAATGTGGATTAATTAAAAACAGGTTTCCTCACAAGAGCTGACTACATCCATGCCAACCTCCCAGCTCTACTAGTACATATGTTTATGTACTTAAACAAAAACTTTCAGTCCTTCACTACCACAGCGGTTAGCGTCTATGTTTTCACACAAAAACATAAGCAGCACTAATTAAGGCTTGCATGAAATCTGTAGTTAACTAAAGAAAAAGGGAGGTATAGGACATTTAGCTGCTGAGACATTATGATTATAAATAAAATAAAAAAAAAGGTAGGATAAACACTACATGTGGCACGGGAAGGTAAGGAGAGCACACAACATAAAAATACCCCCTCCCCATCTTTTTCTACCATTAGCTTTTATGTTGGACCTCGAAACATGGCTCAAAAACTGTATTGTACTGTAGCAGCCAAAAGATAATCTGAGATATAACTACAAGCAGTCGTGTTTGGGATGCTAAAATCCAGAACTGTATGTGCTTAAGCAGCTGTCTTTAACTGATGTACACAGGATGCCTTTAAAAAAAAAACAAACAAACAAAAAAAAACTACAACTGGACTGTAAGTTGTTTACTCAGTTTGGGGGATCAAACCAAACATATGCATGCTGCTCCACCATGCATCACTGTAATGGGAGGGAGGGAGAGAGGGTGGAGACGCAAGTGAGATGTTGGTGCTTGTTTTAAAGGGGTGGCGGATAAGCAATCCCTTGCCTGAGCAAGCCTGACTTAAGGCAAAGGTTAAAATATCAATACTACAGTCTAAATATCAGGAGAGCAAATCAATATGCTTTCAGATGTGTGGCTACATGTTGGTGACCTTTTCCTGGATTCTGGCTCCACTGACAGGTGAGTCATGACTGGTAATCGGCGTGGGTGGCATGTTGAACCTTGCCAGTGTTTGGTTCAATTAACATCACATTTAGGAGGTCAATTGAAAATGAATGAGAACATGTATGCAAGCTAGTAAATGTAAAAAGACAGAAAACAAAAACTGAAAAGTGTCTGTGGGTTTGGGTTCTGAGGGGTACAAATGAGACCTGTAACAGATGGTAGGTATCCTTGATAAGGACGGTTTTCACATTCAGAGCCCTTGATGTAAGTTTGACACCAGCCTTTCCAAACCAGGATGTAAAAGGGGTCAGACCATCATAATCACAGCAGTTAGATGGAACAGTGATCTTACCACATGTACACCACTAAAAATGATGTGGAATTTTGATTCTCCGCCCACGCACGTCTGTTGCTATCCCAGTACAATCAAGGTGAACTGTATCGCATTGTTTGTGTCAAAATAATTACAAATTACAAGAGGGGAAAAAAACAAAACAACTTTTTCACCTTCGCTGTACTGGTATAGTTGTGCTCAAAGGCATATAAGAACCTTAAGTATGTGGCTGGCTATATACAGCTAAAACTGGTCAATTCTGCATGATTTTGGGTGAAGTTGACCCTGTTAAGGAAAACCAGGCTGGGCCTCAAGGCACCGATTCCCATTACAAGTCCCACTCAGTGAGAAAAGGGAGGGAGACATCCTGTATGTTACACACTGCTGTTGTGGAAATGCGCCTCCGCTGGGATGGAGGTTAGAGATTAGAAATATGTATCGACTCGTGTTCTGTGGACAAAAAAGAAACAGCGTGTCACCCACTACCCATTGGCTGATGACTGTGACAGGAAAACGAGGTAGGAAGTGGTAGTTCACGTGAGCTCAGACATGTTAGAAGCTTAATGTTGGGTGTTACTGAGATTTAATGGGATCTGGATTGAGGGGGAGGTGGTGGCTAACTGGATTTAGAAAGATGCAGGAGAATACAGTGCTGCATCTCCCCCTCGTTATAATCTGTGATACACCAGAGAACTTGGACCCCAGACCCTCTATACTCCCTCACCCTAGTGCCACTAGAAATGTTAGGTCTGGCTTCTATAATGTTTTCACAGCTGGGACTCCTCCCCAGCCTACCAACTGACTCGACAGTAGGAGGAGAATGGAGTTGGGATGGGGTGAGACGCCGCAGGGTGGCCAACAGAAACGGCCATTCACAGGAGGGAGTGACACTTTAGTTTTGTTTCTTGGCCTCTTGGTTGCCGTAACTGGAACCTGTTTTCTTCACCTCAGTGACCCCTATGAGGCGGCGGATCGCTATAGAGGCTGCAGAGAGAACAAAGGAGAAAGGGGGGGGGGGGGGGGGGGAGGGGGACACACAACAGGTCAGGAAGAAAACCTCACGAGCTTTAAATGAAACAAGCTACATCAGTTTTCATTCTGGGCAGGTGACTGGTTGAATTATACATCCATGACTGACCAACTTCAAAACAGTCAAATACCCAAAACCACAGGAGCTAAAGAACTCAGACTTTGCTCTTTTTGCAAGTACAATTAGTGCCAAAAAAGAACCTTGAAAAGTGCAAAACACTAACAGGACATGAGCACCAAACTGTCTAAAAGGTAAGGTTTGACCTACCTATGATGAGGAAGAGTATAAAGCCAATAATGAGGAGAGGGGAGCCACTGACGACCACTCCGCAGGCAAAATTGATGAGTGGTGAAAGCAGCAGTGTTGCCCAAAACAGGAAGTTGAGCAGCGTCCACAGCCTGCGCGGTGGGATAATTGTGGGTCCCGGGAACTTGCCTTCCTTATTGTACATTTCCTGTAAAGCATCCTGGGAGTTGGGAAAGATAGTGGTTACCTTTGTGCTTAATTTGATTTGAAACGACAGGATTTGCTGATAAATTTGACATCTGATTAAAAATAAAATAAAGATAAAGATAAATGAATTCTAGAAGAAAATAAAAAAAACAAATGGACCCTAGTCATGCTGTGGGGGGCAGTGTGTTGATATGGTACATAGTTCTAAGGGTCGTCACCACCTTTATTTTCACATCCTGCATAAGAAACGTCTTTTTCGGGATAGCAATACTATCAACAGGCAAAATTATGGGATAATGAATGGTTTTGAGTGTAAACATGGCTTCAGTTATGTGGCCTTCAGAGTCACAAACTCTGTTTTTGACATACAAAGTAATAGAGCAGTTTTCCACCACGATCTTCAAAACACCTACTGAGGTAACGTCTCTTGGAAGGAAGGAATTTACCACACTTTAGTCTGAGATGAATTCTCATGACCCAACACCTAATTAAGATACTTTAGTTTATCCTTTAATTTGTCACCTGCTCAGTATCCACAGGTCATGGTGTCTGAGTGTACCTCCTGTAGCTTAATGACGTTAACAAGTTCAAGAGTTGTTAATGTTTGGGAGGGAAAATAGATTGGTTTTTTTCTCTAATTTGATATCAAGCCCAAACTTGTCAGTGAATTCTTTCAGCAACAATGGGAAGTGGAAGGAAAATTTCCATGACACTGGGTACTAACCCCCCCTTCCCCCATATCCCCAAAACAACAAAGCTGTTAACCCAAATTAACAGTGATCTGGCATTTTAGGAGTCTTTAATGTGAGATTACCTTCTCCTGGTACAGCTTGTGTAGCCAGTTGGCACACTCCTGCTCATCGTCTGGTATATCCTCCACAGAAAACCGCCTGGATGTAAAACAGCAAATAACCATTGGAAGCAGATACAGTTTACCTTCAGTGTCTCAATATTTGGAAACAGGCAAGTAATGAATAAAGTTATGAATGAGACGACATCCTGCAGCTAGAGTCGACCACTTCAAAAAGACCTTGCTAATTTACGCAGCATTTTGCGGAGGAATGGACAAAGCAAAAAGTATTAAATTGAACTGAAATAGAGAAGCAGGAGATAAAAATATGTAGAGTGCTGTGACCTTTATAGTCCATCAGGTTTCATTGGAAAGATGCATTAGATTATTAATGGCACAAAAAATGTGTTTGTTTTCCAGTTTTGTTCCTTTTCCACCTGTTAATTATTTTGCTCGTGATTCTGGTTGATGGAATGACAGGCAGCTAATGTGTGTCTGAAGGCCACTACACATTCAGCACAACAAAAAGCAAACCACAATCATAGCCAGCCACACCAAAATAATCACTGTCGAGATAAATTCACATAAACAGCACTCAGGCACTTTTTAAACAACCCTATCAGGTTAATTCAAAAATGTAAACATATCTGCTGAGCAGTTTGCGCGCGCGCGCGCACACACACACACACACACGAAAGAGAAAAAAACAAAAACTCAAAGACATTTGGTCTGTAGTAGCAGCTTCTTGCCACCAGGTGCCTCCCTCTTCCCAAACACAATTCCCTCTGATACATGAACATTATCATACTAAGTGATTTCAGGTCACTAAAATAGTATTTTTACCCGTCTTCAGTCAACCTGACCTTGAAACTAAAAACAAAGTGTCCACCACCCTCCTGCTTTCAGCTTTATTTAAGTAAAATCACACTAGTGCTCCAATCTGTCTATAACAAGCTCCGAGCTCAGGGGAGCACCCTGGCCATTAAAGCTAATGTCCTGGAGTCTAGCCAGTCTCAGTGCCTCTTTGATTATTACAGGACAAAATGCAGTTGGGAGGAGGCCAAAATGCTTAAAACTCATTTATTCTAGTTTACTTGAAGAAACAGCTGAGCGTGCAGTGCCTTATTACAAAAAGTGATTGTTCAAAAGTAGAGAGCGGGCATCAGCGGTGCTTACCTTACAGACATATCAGCTTTGTACTTCTTGCCATTGACAATGCCCAGGAGGGTGGGAGTCTGGTTGTCTTTGAAATTCAGAGTCACATCATACACAGCAGTTACTGTTGAGAGAAAGAAGAGCAGGCTGTAAGCAACATACAAAATAAAAGAAATGCTCTGAATATAGTTTTTGTGTGACTTGCGCGTGAATGCCACCTGTGCCCTTAAGACACTGCAGTGTGGTGGTGAATCCTTTGGTTCGGGGTAATAGGTGATATTTGAGTATGGGCAGGCCTTTACTCTCTGCAACCTGCATACTGATTTGGTGCTTTTTCTCTGTAAAGCGGGTGCCCTCGCAGTACAGCAGAAACTGTAGAGAGAAAGGAGGAAGAGTTGTGTTAACACACACACACACACACACACACACACACACACACACACACACACACACACACACACA